GTTTAAGTATATGTATAGCTTATACATCCTTAAATTCGTAACAGTACAGTTTAGTCACTTATAAACAACATGATCTTACTGTTGAATGTTTAATTTTTATACTCTGAAAATATATACCACCCTTTACCATCTGGCCACAGTTTTGTGCGATATGCTCATTTAATAAAAAGGACATTAAAAATCGCCGCGCCACTATATTTTGCACGCAAGTTAACACGCGAGTAGAAAAGCAGTTTCACTCATAGTTGTACATATGTATAGTTGCATCACCAGCAAATTGGTATCTACCTTAGTAGAAAGTTCGTGCACGCGTTAAGTATTCCCTTCTACCTACAAGGTGTTACCATTCTTGCGCTCGCTTTTTATTTTTATTGTCATATAACATGTATGTTTATTTAAATAATACAATAACATAGATATATGTATTTATAATTTTGGACAGCAACTATACTGTATAGATATATGTATATTATTAATTTACTATACTATTAAATTTTATCTTGCTATTAAACCTACAATGTTCATAAATTATTAATTCATATGTTAATATATAAACATGTATTTAGTATCTTGGATGTAAATTAATTTGAAAGAGACAGGATTAAGTTTGAAACGATTGGTTTCGTTAATTACTCCGTGTCAAAAGAAAAAAACGATGGTAAATTACAGAGACCTTCGCGAACTGTACGCGTCGCACAATACTTTGACCGAGTTACCCGGATCGTTGCACGGCTTAACAGCCCTCGAGGTACTCGACTTGAGCTTCAACAAGCTGAACATCCTGTCACCGGAAACGCTGAGCAGTCTGTCGGCCTTGCTCGAGCTGAAACTTGTCAGGAATCGTATCCGAGAACTGCGCGAGGGTGCGTTCGATGGTCTGCCACGATTGACGTTGATCGATTTGGAGAACAACGACTTGAGGATCATTGAGAGAAACGCTATAAGAGCTCTGCCGGAACTGCAAGCGATACGGCTTGGGAAAAATCGCTTACAGGTAGTGGAAAAACATTGTTTCCTTTTGTTCAGAAATAATTGTCATATGTGATATAGGATGCTTCAATTAAGTACGTTAAAGGGAAATAAAATAATTTGCTTTTGCAAAAAGTTATTTTGAAGATCATGTAATTTCATGATGTTTTCGCCTTTTTTCGCTGGTCTGTTTATCATTACGACATGATAATTAACGTGATATTAAAACGAATCTAACGATTTTTGTTTCGACGATTAATTTAATGAACACTACTGAAAAAATCAGACGTCTTTGGCAATTGACTTTCTTATCTGAAATGATACACTTTGTTATTTGGAAATGCGTAGATGATTCCAAGCGGAGCATTCACCGAATTGCCTCTGTTGCAAAGTGCAGAACTTCAGGAAAACCGTATTCAGGAAGTTGCAAGCAATGCCTTCATTAACGTGCCTCATCTTCTATTCCTCAACCTAAGTCACAACCATTTATCCTCGTTAGATTACGTTGGTTCGGAAAGTTTGCGATCGTTGGAGGTCTTAGATTTGAGCAACAATCGATTGTCGAAGGTGTCAAGCAACAGTTTGGCGTCAATGGAGTGGTTGGTCGAATTAAGAGTAAGTAATACGAAAATGGGATGTAAAAACTATTTTTTTCTTTTTTTACGGTTTTTTAGTTAGCATAACAATTTTTTTAAAAAACATGGAAGCTGGTAAATGTGAAAGTAGATGATGGCACAATTTTGATATATACAAAAAAAGCTAAAAAATTGTTAAGGTTGAAAATAGAGAACACAATACCATAGGAGTTTTTGCAACAAGCACATTGAACGTATAATGAAAAATGGCGGGGATATAGTCTTTAGTAAGAACGGGGATTACTTTCTCAAATGAAAGTGAAACTGATCCACGAACCGTGGAGAAGTGGTGCGAGGCCAGCCGTTATGCTAGCGGGCCGATTATTCATTTTTAGAGCCGTTAGGCACTGTCGACAAATCGCCGATCGCTTGATCGCTCAGAGACTAAAAAGCCGACCACGCTCGGCGGACCAAGCTTCTCGTTGATGGAGGCAATCCTCTGGTTGCTACGACCAAGAGCGTATGAGCTCATATACATATTTTCTTGCACTGGTCGCCAGTGAATGGTCGACAATGCGTAACTACTCTTATACGTGCATGCACTTAAGAAGGTACTGCAATTAAGGGGATAGCAGATCGTTTTACATACGTTTTCCGGTTTAATCGCAGATGGACAACAATCGAATTTGCACTATCCAAGGCTCGCCATTCGACGAAATGCCGAGACTCCGAGTTCTCACTTTAAGAAGCAATCGGATGGCTTCTGTTTCAGAAACAGCGTTCAAAAGATTGCGATCAAATATCGCTGTTCTAGATATCGACGGTAATAAGAAATTCTTTTTATTTCTGTTAATATTTTCTTTCCTAAATCATCTATTGCACAACATTAAATAATGATAACACTATAAAAA